TCCGTATTTATGCAACATCAGTTACTTGACCTTTTTAAAATAAATCATAGAAGGCTTGGTGTGAATCTGATCCTTTATTCTATCGAAAGATTGTAGGTCCGATCTTTTTGTTAAGCCATTCAAACTATAAAAAACGACAATAGGGTTACATTTCTGATCTTACTGGGCACTTTAAAAACGCCCTTCTTGCAGTTCCGCTCTAACAAAATCAATTTGTTCGTTTTACTCGCCTCTGCCTTCTCACCGAATCTCTCCCTATCTCTCTCTCTCTCTCTCTCTCTCTCTCTCTCTCTCTCTCTCTCTCTCTCTCTCTCTCTATCTATCTATCTATCTATCTATCTATCTATCCATCTATCTATCTCTCTCTCTCTATATATATATATCTATTTCTCTATCTATCTCTACATCTATCTATCTCTCTCTCTCTATATATATATATATCTATTTCTCTATCTCTCTCTAACTCACTCAAACACTCACCCACTCACTCCCAATTCAATGGACCCCCCCTCTTCTTTCACTCTCTTTCCTGCCCATCTCTCACAGTGTTTACACGTAAATGTGCGTGCATGCATTCACTTGTTGCACTTTAGAACGCTGTAGCATAAAGGGGAGGTGAAAAACGAGAAACTCCTGCTTGAGTTAGAAGGGGGGGGGGGGGTTGAGAGGCAGCACCAAGGTCGTTTGCCTTATTTCAGGGCAAATTGTGCTATAAAAATGGATAGTGAGCCCTGCGAGGACGGACAATTCTCCATTTGTCACGGAGATCAATCTCTCTGGTTGCCATGGAACGTAGCCTTCTTGAATTACAATTAAAAGATAGACTGTTGTCTTAGAAGGTCTGCTGTTTGATAAGTTCAGGGACTTTCTAAAACAAAACAGATATTTTTCCTAGATATCTTAAGGAGGAGTTTTAAATTCTTTTTTACACTTTTCTTGTTTGAATTTTTTTCCCTGCGTGTTCTGCCTAAGGATCTCAAAGGCAGTCAAATCATAAGGAAAATAAGGCCTAAACGCGATGCTAATATTATATTCCTTTTGCATCATGTATACAGACTAATGCGGTGTTCACACATACAGGAGTAACGAAGCCCAGTAAGACCAAATTTCTTAGTCCAGCAGGTCGGGGCTACTCTGGATACATTTCGCCGAGCAATCGGCCTCCCTCCCAGAGAGATATTTCATGCCTGCCATGTCAAATTATTACACGGGAAGCTTGCCGAAATTGTCAAACATGCTTAAAATTTTTGCCGAGCGAAAAATGAGTCGCCGAGTCAATAACTCGATCGGGAAAAACTCGGGGAGGACTCGAGGAGTATCAGAAATGGCTCAGCGTGCAAAGCTGAAATACGTTACCGAGTGACAGTGACACGCCGACGAGATCTGAATGGTAGCCGTGTAAAATTTCCTACTCTGCTGGTTAAATTAATGCTCGCCATGTAAAAATCTTGCACAGGGAGTCAGTTACTCAAGCAATGCGTGCAAAAGTTGACACCTCGAGCATGTAACTATTTCCTGTTGCCATGTATCGAAGAGTGACAACTAGCTTGATGTCATGTTCCAGTGACTGCCTCCAGAAAATATTTGCCTTGTGGATGGTGGGGCCAAATTTCTCCAGTAGTTCTTGGAAAAACTCCGGAGAAGCTCTGATGAGGTTCCTGAAGGATGCCACATCTTTAACTTGCAGTTCGGCCATCAGCTTCTCAAACTGTCCTAAGTTCTTATGAACCATGCTCTAACTCAACAGGTCCTCCTCCTCCTACTCTTCCTCCTCCTTTTCCTCCTCTTCTCCTCTTCTTGCACCAGCACAACAGCGAGGGCACCATTATTATTTATACATGAAGTATACATCCATCGTCTGTGTCATATGAGTCATGTTGAAGGAATGAACAAAAACATTTTGCCCCCTCTTTATATATTATAACATTGCTCGCCGACTAACTCGGCGACAGGTCGGCAAGATGGTCAGCATGGTCGGTGAGTTTGTCGGCGCATGAAATTTTACTCAGCCGCTGCGTTTCCTGGCTCTGCAAGTGGCCAGGATTCAAACTAATTGCTCGGCAATAGGCTCGGCGACACACTCGGCGATATGCTCGCCGTCCTAAATTATTGCTCGGCGAGCGTCTCCCCGAGTGCTCACCGACACAATAATGTCAACAGTCATGGCCAGATTCTTGTCACGATTAAACCCGAAATTTGGCATTATCTTACCAGGAATTGCTCGTCGACTCTACTCCTGTATGTGTGAACACCGCATTAGAGTTCGCATGTACAATGTACGCAAGGCCCTTCGACTATTGTATTCTTTTCCGAGAAGATGGAGCAGATCAGAACTGGGAAGGCAGAGGAAGGAAAGCATACTATACATAGTCACTGGCCCTGCTCTACTGAATCTGGGATAAGACAAGGTGCTTGAGAATGAGAGATGGCACAACTACCAAGGAACTAAATCAAAATTATTATTAATACTTTCAGGGAGCTGAACGACAACATATCAAAGGGAACACCACGTCCAACGGGGAGATGAGTCACAAACATTGACGCACAGAAAAGAGGGAAAACATGGAATAACACCAAGCGTCTAGCCCAGGATAGGGAAGGGTGAATAGTGTGTGTTCGTTGCCTATATACATCATGATACAGGGTGAGAAGGTGATGAACGATAACATTTCAGAAGAAACTAAATCAAAAGGAGTATCCCAACTAATTCTCATCCTCAAAAGTGATGAATATAATGTCTTAGGTCTTTAACATGAATGATATTCTCTGATAAAAGATGTTGGTGTAAGAAAGAGGGAGGGGGAGTAGACTGAAATCAAGTTTTTTTCCTAAAAGAAATGAGACAACAAATATACTTTTCCTGATTTTTTTAAAAACAACTTTACTGGTTTTGGTCGTCGATATTTTTTAGCTTAAAAATGGTGTGAACATACATACATTGGGATTTAATCCTGTCACAAGGCTCGATCAGCGGGTCATGACGTCAGTCGAGAATAAAAATGTCACCGTGAACAGTTCTCCTTGGGATTCCAACTTGAACCTTCGACGTCCATAAATCACATCACATACACACCAAATAAGAATCACATCTCCACATATCTCAACGAAGCAGTCTGTGACTGATGAGAACAACCTTTCGTCAAATGTTGTATAATATCGCTCATTCGTCTGGGTTTTTTAAATGTAGGTGTTTTTGTGCCACATTGATACAGATTAATTCATTTAGAAGACGGGACTCGACCCTGCCTGTTAGAGCCAACACAGCTTGAGAGGGATACCACGTCCAAGCAGAAAGACAGAGATACATTAATAAAGATTCTCCACTCACGGGAATTGAACTCGGGTTTTATGTGTGCGACTCTCCACTCACGGGAATTGAACTCGGGTTTTATGTGTGCGACTCTCCACTCACGGGAATTGAACTCGGGTTTTATGTGTGCGACTCTCCACTCACGGGAATTGAACTCGGGTTTTATGTGTGCGACTCTCCACTCACGGGAATTGAACTCGGGTTTTATGTGTGCGACTCTCCACTCACGGGAATTGAACTCGGGTTTTATGTGTGCGACTCTCTACTCACGGGAATTGAACTCGGGTTTTATGTGTGCGACTCTCCACTCACGGGAATTGAACTCGGGTTTTATGTGTGCGACTCTCTACTCACGGGAATTGAACTCGGGTTTTATGTGTGCGACTCTCCACTCACGGGAATTGAACTCGGGTTTTATGTGTGCGACTCTCCACTCACGGGAATTGAACTCGGGTTTTATGTGTGCGACAGACTGACGCCTCACCACTACATCGGAAACGCCGACATTCATTTACGAATACGGTGAAGAGAAACAAATATAATCTGATACATAGATCTTTACAGAATAGCATTACAGCATCCCAGAGAAGCAAATTTACAATAAAGTTCAACGTAATATAAGTTGAATTAAAGATACGTATAATTGCTTAATTATTCAACATGCCACCCACAATGTAGGTGATAGTGCAGGGTGCCCGTAACGCTTTTCAATTAACACAGTTAAATCACACAGATTTTGCAACCGTAAGCTAATTTTGGCGTGAAACATGAAAAGCAAAATTTTAAGATAAACGAGTACATACAGAGTTGTACTGTTTCACGAAAATAAGTTTTAGAGCTTATTTATGGTGGTATATTGACCCTACCCCTTCATATCTCTCTCTCTCTCTCTCTCTCTCTCTCTCTCTCTCTCTCTCTCTCTCTCACTCACTCTCTCCCAACCGCTCCCACCCCCCTCACCACTGCCCCCCCACACACACATAAAAGCTCATACAACATCACATTTTTTTTTCACACATATTCGGCTGGCATATTATTCATTCCAAATTACTGCTGCAGTCCCTCAGGAGACAACGCATTGCAGCCTTTTAAGTGCACACTCCGAGTCGGCCTCTGATTTTGAACAATTCAGTGTTTTAAGCTCTGTTTTGAGTACCTTTGGCGGTTGCGGAAATTATGTTCATACATGTGTGTGTGTGTGTTTGTGTGAATGTGTGTGTGAGTGAGTGTGTATGTGCGTCAGTATGTATGCGAGTGACTGTGTGTGTGTGCTAAAGAGAGAGAGAGAGAGAGAGAGAGAGAGAGAGAGAGAGAGAGAGAGAGAGAGAGAGAGAGAGAGAGAGAGAGAGAGAGAGAGAGAGAGATTTGAGCTCTCACTCGCAATTCAACGCAAAAACCTACTCAGAGAGTGGCCAAATGCTTTTTTTATTGCCTTGTTTTGTTTTGTTTTTGGGTTTTTTCTCAGCGAGTTCCAGCTTTCCTAAAGAGTAGGCCTTTTTGGCGCTGCTTTCAAACTGGCTCTATTCTCATAGCCACGTCAACTTTTTTACAAGACATTGTCTTGGGTGCAGTTTCTTTCAACCTATGTTACCTTTTTCTATTTTTTAAACATTTACTCAGTATCATCTCCTTCTTTTTACACCTTGGGAGTTTTCACTTTGCATTCAAGAATCTACTTCCACAAAGATAATATGCCACAGAAGTCTTTATTAGAAACTGCATAGATATGCCAGGTACTATCCAGGGTAGGAAAGAGAAACATGTAAGTTTCAACTAAATGTTGGCATTTGTCATACAAAACTATGTCTTTCTACAGGCCATAGTACGATCGTTTCCGAAATACAACACGTATATTTTTTATTAATTTTTTTTTTGGAAGTGGTTAAAATGTAGAAAAAGTAGGTGTAATGAAAACAGCAGAAAAACAACAAAATAACAACAAAACAAGCAGTGAAATGTCTAACATGATCAAGCTCTAGGGGGTTTAGCTTGAGAATAGAACTCTCTTTCCAACTCAATGCACGCGGGAGTTTCGAAGGAATATGAGCTAGTTTTCTTCCTCGCTTTCATTGTTAATACCAATTCTCCCCTCCCTGAAATCCTCGGCCGTCATCTTTCTGTACGGATACAAAATATAAAAAAAAAGGATCCAGAAAGGCCCTCGGGTCTTACAAAAGCTTTTGGACCCGTACCCAAATCCGAACCGGCTTGTGAATGGCATTTTGTGTATCTCCGACTGTTCTTTTGTCCTTTTCTTCGACTTGACATTTTCCATGAATTTCATTTTATCCCTGCATAGATCCGTCAAACTGTTTATGTGCCCATGTTTCTGAGTGTAAAGGCATAGCGTAGTGTTAAATAATATTGTTGTGCCAGCTTGTTAACACCTCCACCTTCATGTTGTGCGTGAGTCTTTTACGTGTCTTTCCTTGGCTGTCTCTCTCACTTCACTTGCAGACATGTCTGGCTTTTGTTCACAACCGTTGTTTGTTTCTGGCTGTGTAGCTTTGTCTGTCTGATTCAGTCTTTCTGTCTGACTTTCTGTGCCTTCCTCTCTGTAGCTGTTTACGTGTCTCTTCGTCTTTTGTGTTCGTTTCTGACTTTCTGTCCGACCCAGCACTTGTGTCTGTTTCTCTTTTTGTTTGCTCGTTTGTCTAAAGTCTGCCTGCGCCCATTCGCCACCCACTACTAAAACCCCTATGAGAATAATGATATTGGCGGTCTACTGGTTTTTCTAAGGAAGTACAGTGAACACATTACGAGCAAACAAGAACAAACACCTTGTCTTACAATATTTGTATAAATCCACATCCAGACTGTTCAATCACAGGTGAGCAGCTACGCTTCTGTCGCAAAACATACAGGTGATCACGTATTTAAAGTGTTTCCGGAACTTCCTCGCCGACAAAAAGTAGATGTAAAAGTTCAGGGCATGGTTGGAGTCACACAGCAAGTAGGCAAGCTGCTGGCAGAAGTATTTGATAGCATATGCTTGAGGACCGGACACAGGCCAGTATGTTGCCACGACAAACACACATATGGGGAAGTGGAGGAGAAGAAACATAAAGGTGGTGCTGAATAGCATCAGCATGATCTGCCTCTGAACTGGGATGTCGCAGTGTCGCGTACTGATGAAAGTGTTGATGGAACGGAAGGCACTACGCAGCCGGAAGGACATGCGAATTTCCCGGGCTATGAGGGCGTTGCAGATGACGAGGATGATGAAGGGAATGAAGGCGTACATGGCCATGGACGTCCAGTGGATTGCCTGCAGGAGGTCTAAGTCGTCTTTCTGGCATTCCACGGACTGAAAGAAAGAAAAAAAGAGAAAACATCCGGATATATTCTGATTAGACTTTGAGTGTGAGTCCCACTCTTGTGGCATGTGGTACCATTTATTGTTAAAACATTGTGAATAAATTGAATTCAAATACTTCACCTAGACTACTTTTTAAGTGCTTTTGGTTCTTCTCTCTGCCATCGGAGAGAGATGAATAAAGCAGACATCCAACATCTCCCGTCATATTAATTATTTTATGAACAATTCACCACTTAAATGGCACCTAAACTGAAACTCACAAACACAGTCGTTGAGCATAAATGAAAACCACAGAGTGTGTGACTTTTTATATTGATTGGTAAGTAACAATCAACGGAAATGGATGTTTTTGATGTATGTTCCAAGATAGTCCCTCTTTTTACCAAGAGTAACTTACGACAGTACATTAACAATTCATTGAGTCTCCAGCTTTCTTATTCTAAATAAACTGACCAATACCTCCCCCCCCCCCCCAAACAAAAAAGCAACAATGCAGTGTTTTGATGAACATTTGCTTTGCTAGAGCAAGTGGAACAACACATACAGAACGATTACATAAAAATTCACATTGAGCTGGTTTGTTGATATTGAAGTATATTAACTTTTACAGTAAAACATGTTGCTTTCTGTTCAAAATTGCAGGTAGTGTACGTATGGTTGACTAGTCGCTACTTCAGAATTACAATGTTCTAATATTATATTTTTGGTGAATTACGAAGACCATAGGATTGGAAGTCAAAGTCCTTTTCTGCTCTATCAAAATTGTAAGATTATTCTTGGTCGTTTTCAAGATAATTATTCGAAGAATTGCGTTTGAAAACTGCTTTACATTATTGTGAAACTCAAAATTTTGAACGTCAAATTAGGGGCTCTCGTGACCTAGATGTTAAGGCGTTCGCCTCTCTTTCAAAGATCCCGGGTTCGAATCCAAGTAGTGACCGAAAAGTTTCTTCTCTTTAATTGTCTCCTTTCACCTCCTTTCCTGCTCTATAGCAATGTTCTGTCGTCTGCTTTCGTCTCCACTTTCTGCCCCCACCCCATGAACTCCTTTGCCCCTTCCTCTGGGCTCCTGACACTTGCTGCAGCCTTTATACTCATTTTTATTGCTGTCTTTCAGCCACACCCCTGATCTTTTGCTAGGAAAGATCTACACCAAACCTTTTCGGACAAGGGCGAAAAATCTCGGAGGTCCCGTGTACAAGTTGCGCACGTTAAAGACCCTTTTGTGGTCTAAAATCGGAGAGAGTATGCTTCGGCCGCCACCGGGAAAAATTCAAAATGTCCTACCAACTGAAAAATGTTTAATATGTTACGCGTGCTCATATGACCTTATGCAATTGGGAGCGCCGTAAAACACTTACCAAATAAAAAAAGAATTAAAAAACCGTCAAATTTCTCAAAACTAAGTACTGAGCAGATAGAACTTTGTAATTCTAGGATAGTGTTGTGTCGACCATAGGAGACACAGCGTTTTTCAAATAAAAAAAATTATCAAATTTTGTAACACTCCTCACAATATTGTACACTTTGTTCAACACAAAGCAAATGTTGATGAAAGACACAGATTTTGTCACTTCATATTTATTATGAACTTTGTATTAAATGGCACTGTAGTGAATTGTGTCCATTATTAAACGAATGACGTTTGAGGCTATAGAGTTGATGAGAAAAGCCAGCTTCGTCGTTCACATGAAGGTAAATTACAATGAAATCAGTCTTAGTTTAAAAAGAGGCAAACATATGTTATATCTCACAACGCTTTTTTCAAAGTATTTTAACAAATCCATTAATCTCAACGAAACGCCAGAGGAATTGAGCAAGAACTTGGGATGATCAAAGGACCTCGCTGTAGTCGTGTGAGTTTCACGTGTGAAATGTAATATCTCTTCAAAATCCAACAGGTTCTTTAAACCTATATTCAAGAATATTCCAGTGTAATACGTAATGATATTAATGGGGAATATTGCCCCATGGCCCCTGCATTTGTACCGTTGTTGCTATTGTTCTTCTAAGTGAAGCTCGCAGTTAAGGGAAGGTAAGCCTCCATTTCCGCTAAATGTTGCCATCAAAACACTTTAATTTACACAATGTGAAACTAGCAGGGCCAGGCATCCAACTTCTAGTTTCCCACAGATTCTCACGGTTAGGAGAGCGGGTGCCTCAACAAGTCGATGTTTCTCACAATTCTTCATCAATCATAGTATTGTTTCTGAAAGAAGAAAGTCCTGCAATCTCGGCCATGAGTTTCTTCTCTTCCTCTCTCCCCCTCTGTGGTCTGCTATAAGCTTCTTCCAGTGTCTCTTCAGACTTGATTTCTAATAATGATTTGAATGAGTTGTGAACTCTAATTCCTAAATCAATAAATGGATAGCTTCATAATGGTTTTTTCCTTGTTTTTTTTCTTGTTTTTTTTTTGGGGGGGGGTGTTGTTTTTCTCTCTCAACTGTGTTATACTCTTCCTGCTCCATTTATATGTCCGTCTGTCTCTGTCTGTTAGAGTATCCATCTCTCTCCTCATCTGTCTGTCTGTCTGTCTGTCTGTCTGTCT